GCTTAATAAGAGGAACAAGACAATAAAGCAGATGCTCTCCAGAGATACATGCAGAGGGAAAAGTGTTACCCAAGGGGTACTCAACTAATTTAAAACTGCACTTGCATAAAGTGCAGAGGACTTGCAAGAGAAAAATTAAAAATAACAAATGAAAAAAATCAGTTTAGTCAGTAGAGACTTACCTCTTAAAATTCACCAGGTCACCTTCACTTTTAGCCTTTTATGTGTAATTTTCATCTATTTTGCATACCCCAATTGAAAGCTTACAGAAGAGCTGTAAAACTAAACTGCGCCTAACAGATTTGATTTCAAAGGGACGTCATCTAGTTGCTGAAACTCTGCTAGTGTGGCATGTGGCTAAAACCTAACCTAACTATAATCCTACCTCCAAATGGTTTGAAAGCAACCAAGTGGATGGTAAGAGTTTATAATATACATCAAGTATGAACATTCAGCATGGTAGAGTCTATGTAGAATCTTGGTGTTATGTAAGCGCATGCTTTGATTTTGCAAATCAAGTATTCTTTTATCAGCATGTACTCTTCATCATCTGGTATAGAATAAAACCCAAGATAGGCAGTCATATGCTTCAGTGATACAGTTATACAAAGACTGTAAAAATTAACCTATGCCAACACCTGAGACTACAATTGTGGAGGAAAGTGGAGGAAAACATGTCTTCTACAGTTCAATTGAAAAAAAACCTTAGCTAATGTGTAGCTTACATGTAGGATTTACAGGTTACCGGCTCTGGTGCCTACTGTATAAAACAGTGATATTTTATGTCAGCAAAGAGGGGCACTATTGTACAAAATGGAAAAGCCATTTATTAGAAAGTCTAACCATTTATTAGGTTTGACTTGCTGAAAAAAGAGCACAGAGAGAGGCAAACTCTATCTAGGGAGAGTAGTTACTAGGGAAGGAACATTGTCTTAATAAAGGAAACCATCCATATATAGGCAGAGAAAAAAAGAACTACTGAAATCACAAATCTACTACACAAAGTTGATGTGATGCCGTTTTTTATAAGTCATTTTATAACCTCCTGTTGGAAGTCAGTGCTGTTGAGCTGGCATTTACTCCTTCTAAAGGTGTTAAAACAATGTGGCAGAAATTTGGCAGCCTTTCTTCTGCTTGGTAGGAAACTCGCAGCAAACAAACATTCTTGTCTAAATGAAACGCTTTGTTGGCCCATCAGTCAATCTACCCAACCATTCTCCCTAAGAGTGATTTTGTTGTTGCTGCTGCAGTGAGATCACACTGCTTCTGACTTTGTTTCTAGCAAAAATTCTCTATAGTTCACCGAAAGAATCTCATTTCTGGTGAATTAAAAATTGATTTTGTAAAACTGTATGTATTTATTTAAGTCAGTTCTTGTTGTCTGGATGGCACACACTGGACACCGCATAGTTAAATAATTTTAGTTTGTTGAAAGTTCCTTTTCCTCAGTGAGTTTTTTTCATGTAAAATGTGAACTATTATAAACAACAAGAAAAAATTCTAAGTTAGAACAGACACAGTTAGTTGATGGAAAGGATTTTTCTACTTGTGTTGCAGAAAAGTTGCTTTTGTATGAAGATGGCACCTTAAACTTCTTTGCACCAGATGGAATATAACTGGGTTTTCTTTGAAATTTGACTCACATGGTTTACATCCATCATGGTTAGAGTTTGCCCAAAGTTGGGTTTATGAATCAAAATTTGAAGGTAAATGTTTCAGTATCTTCACATATTTCTGTGTTCATTCCAAATTAAAGCTATTTGACTGTTTCCTTCTAAAATTTCTCCACCCAAGGGAACTGCAGTACAACACGGTGAACCAGCATCTACTCAATGGGCTCAAAGGAAGGACTTCCTAAATTAAAAATGAATCAAAATGTAATTTAATAATCAAATGTGCATCAAACATGCAATTTAACTATTAATTTTCAATTTAGCTGCAGTCAAGGGGAACTGCTGCTGTAACACTATTTCAGAGTGTGCAATCATACCAGAAAAAGCATTTAAAAATGGGTCTTCTTCATTGCTGTGAGTGACGGCTCATGTGAAACTGGCTGAAATCAGGCTGATGTGGTACAGTATATAAACCTCCATCTAGTAATGCAAGGAGCTTAAAATAAGCACTTCTCATATTGCTTGGCCCAGCTATGATTACTGAGGCTGTTCTGCTTTTGTTGCCTTAAATCATCTGAGGCCACACTGATATTTCTCTTGATGGTCTGCCTAAGCTGCTGTGGTCAGGACCTGAAGTCATTTTCATGACTGTCATGACTGCCAAGTCCACCAGAACGCCCCAGTTGGGATGCAAACCAAGAACCTTCTTAATTGAAATGGGTTTATGGTTTTAGCCAGTTAAGTTGGTTCAGGCAAGTAACCAGGATGCCTCATGGATGAATTCTAGGTGTTTCTGGGAGACACTGCAGAGATTATAATGCCTCAGTGGACTTGAGAACATTGTGGTTCCCCACATTACCAGCTAGAGGAGTTGGTTTGGCGAGAAGGTCTGAAAATATGGCAAAACTGATTTTTTAAAAGATGGTTTTGATCTTTGTTAGAATGATTATTTAACATGGTCTCTGATGCCAGGATATGGGAGAACAAATGAATAAATATTAATATGAGATAATATGATTGCTTGAGGTCAGGGTTACCAGTGAGTAGGTCAATGGCACTTTCCTCAGTGTCAGCAAAATTCAAGTAAACTTTCCTTCAGCATCATTTTAGTTGACATATATTTAGCTGAAATATCCATAGTAACTTTGTAATTTAGTTTACATAATCATGGTTGTAGTTGAGCTTTACTCATTTTTCTGAAATAGTCAAAATATGTTTATCTAGAGTTTAGTCAAGGCAAGGCAAGGTTTTAGTTTAAATTATGTTAGATTTTTTTTGTTTCTACATTCTTTAATCATTTTGATGATTCGAACTAAATAAATGAAAGATATTTTAGACCATGGGTAAAAAAAACCTACTAAACTGGAACACCAGTGTTTGCTTTGACAGATGCTACAGATCTCTGCAGAGACCTTTAAAATGGAGAACTGTTTACATATGCAATCATCTGACTTCAACACATCATCTAGTTTATCCATAATGTTTCTGAGGGAGACATAAAACAAGTTTTCTTTGTCAAATTTTGTTTTCATGTTTGCTGAATTTCCTTTGTGAAAAACAGGTATTCAAATAAAATTGATTTATTTTGACTTTATAATTAACAACATTAATACTGTTGTTATGTAAGCTTAAAAACTATTTCAACACACAGACTGTCACCATGTAAAATGCGAATCCCTTTAGCAAAAAGTTTAAATTTCTTGTCTTCTGATAACACCAAAGAGTAGTTGAATATAGGGCTGGGCCATATTATACCGTTCACGGTAATACCGGTATAATGTTAGGCAACGATAGGAAAATGAAATATCGCGATAGAATATGAGTAAAACGCGCATGCGCAGTGCCTTTGTTTTCATACGCACATGGCCGATTGTTGAGTGAAACAAATGAACCAGAATTGGTTTGTAAAAATGGTGCAACTTCAGTGATGTGGAACTGGTTTGGTGTTTGTCCGTCAGATAACACAAAGCACATTTTTTGCAGAACATGCAAGCGGCCGTCGTTATTGTCGTATTTGTCGGACTAAGATGCTCTTAAATCTGGGAGTAATCTGGGTCCTAAACTCCGTATAGGTCAAACGAACACTGCAGCATCACTGAGAGTTAAAAACTGTCTAAATTCTTTCATCTTTAATAAAACGATCAGCATTGCTGCTTTACCAGGTGTAACTATAAGTTTAACTTCCAGGCATCCATGAAAACAAAAGTTATTACATTTAACGGAGTTAGAAGTTAGCAGGAAGCTAGCGGAAGTTAGCTCGCTAGTTTCGCTAGTTACCCAAGCATGATATTGCATGTTCTGACTGAGAGATTTCTGAAAAAATTCAAACGTACAGCTCTGCTATCACTTCCAACATAAATGAAGACAGGAAACTAAACAGCAGTGACGTTTGTAGGGTTACTGAAGTGTGGGCTAGCTGGTATATAATGATGTGCTACGTGATCGCTAGCAACACAGCTATGTTAGCATAACATAAACAGTGAAGCTGGAGGACGAACACTAACACTTTTCCACTTAGAAAAGTTACGGACCAAACTTCAGTCAGGAGAACAACTGAGAAATCCATCCACAATACGAGGTTAGTCATTAATATACTGCAACAACATGGGAATAGAGCAGCTGCCAGAGAATTCAACATTAATGAATCAATGGTACAGAAGTGGAGGAAGCAAGAAGAATGAGTTTAATAAAGTTTGATTTATCTGACTGCTTTGTTTCGCTTAATGTGCCTTATAATCCCGTGCACCTTATGGTCCGAAAAATACGTACTGCACACTGCAGTTTAATGTTGCAAAGCACCTCTTTTTAACTTCAGTGGATATTATACATGGTTATGCTCAGGATATGTCAGCCCATTTCTACTGGAAATGCCTTTTGGTTAAACTTTCAGCAAGGAATTTGCATTTGCACTGTTACATTTTTATAAAGCTTTAATGTACATAAAAACCAGCTTCTTGTTTAAGTGAAAATAAATGGAAGGTTGTCTTTTTGCGCTAGTAATGTTGTGGAGTTGTATTTTGTCTCGCATCAATTATATCGTCAGTTATATCGTTATCGCAAATTTTCAAATATATATCGTGATAAATATTTTTGGCCATATCGCCCTGCTCTAGTTGAATATAGTAAATAACAGTTATTAACAATAAATATCAGTAAATGCTGGTGTTACTGAACAGTTTTCAAAAGCTCAGTAGTACACAAACTCGATAGATAGCATCATTTGCTTAATTTAATTAATTTACAAGTTTATGTTACTTTTTAAACATTAAAACCAAGAGCTTTATGTGGAGGTGTATATCATTATTATTATTATTATTATTATTATTATTATTATTATTATTGTTATTATCATCATCATGTGTGGAAGTATAAAAAGCTTTGTCTTACCAGTGTTGAGGTCCTTGTACTCGTGAGAGAAGTGCTCGTTCTGATGAACCCACTCCCCATTGCATTTGAAGAAGATCTGTAAGGCAGGCACAGCTCGACAGCGCAGCTTGATAGGGTTACTTTTGACAATGTAGGCATCCTCCGGCTCCTGGATGAAGTGGGGCAGGGTGCCCTGTACCGAAGGTACAGCATCTGGTTGAGCATCACCTGTGGCACCACCTATAACACAAAACCCTGGTTACTTCACCATCCTAGTTGTTTCTTTAAGGGGAAAAAATAAGAGCAGAACAGGTAGTCTGATGGAAACAAAGACATCATTGTTCTGGTATCAGGTGGATACACAATTTAGCAGTGAAAAGTGCATTTTATTTTACAAACAAGATGATAACAGCAACTACTTTCAGATTTAAAACGATTGCTCAGTGGACAGTGTTTTGAAATCGGCATTCATTAGAAGCTAACATATTGTCGAAAAGCAGAGTACACTCAGAGCACAATTCATCCCCCATCCGAGCAAAACTCTTCTTCTCAGAGCAATTTGCAGATGAATGAAATCAGAGCGGAACAAGTGGAGAGGAATTAGGAGGAGACTGATTACCCAAATTGTGGCTGTGGAGTCTGAATACATCTTATCTCAGCCACAAGGCCTGGATTTTAGTCGACACAAAAACAGCCTTTGTGCTGGCGCCAGCGTGCCCTGTGTTTAACGACAATTCACGGCAGGTTACTCTGTTTTTTTTTCTTTCGTTTTGGTGGTGGGGAGCACAGTTGACAGTTCATTGATCTAAGCGCACTATTAGAATCGTGGACTCTTACACTTCATATGTATTTTTTTTTCCTTCAAAGAAAGGTTCTAGACTCACATTTTGTCATTTGGCCATTTCTTCTGGGTAAAGCACAGTGAGTTCTGTGGGCTGGGACAATGGGGAACAGGATGTTTGTGCTCCTGCCATCCCCGGGATCCTTCTCAGAATTACACCTCAGTCGAATCAAGACAGCTCCAGCTAAGCTATTCAGTGCCATAAAAGCCAATGAGAGCTATTATGCCCCCGCTATCAAATCCAATCCTGTCCCTTGAAATCGAATCTGCACTCTCACCACTTCTCTCAATCAATGTTGTCCTTGTTAAATGGGTAAATGAATGGATGCGGGTGTATAGAAGAGCCACACATAAAACAAACAGACAGGGAGGTGAATGACTGGAAATTATACAGTTTGATGACATTTCTCAGTATAGTATGCCTCTATCACAATGCTACGACATGTACTTCCTGTAAGTAGTCATATCACCGTTATATCCTCAACACACCTTAAAATAATTACAGAAACAAGGGACATGATGATTTCAGATCCAATCACTGATCAGCTGGCATATTTATGTGATGTGTTAATCTATATTCATTCATGGCCCTCAGATGTATTTAGTGCTGTAAAAGCTGGGAAATAATACAGAACTATGGGCATAACATTTACACATACATCTTTTCTGATTTGTTTAACTGTAACATTCACTTTTAGAGTGTTTTCAATAACTTCTTAATTTGCCTTTTTTTTTTAAAATTTTCATGTAAAGTTTTAATTCTGTATAAAGCTAGCTTTAAACATTTTCATAACTACGTAGGATCATTTTTAGCATGGTTAAGGTGGAGGGTGGTTTTTGAAAAAATAGTTGTTTTCAGGTCCATCTAAAAAATTAGAAAAATTTAATTAGAAAAATCTGAAAAAAAAAAAATCAAATTTTGCCCTTTAATGGAACTCACAAACTCAATATCTCAAATTATTGTAATATTGAATTATTGCTATTCAAACAGTATAAATACCATGTATATCTCAGTCTAGTTCAGTACACACAGCCACAGCCATGGGAAAGACTGCTGACTTTACAGTTGTTCAGATGATGATCACTGACACCTTCCACAATGAGGGTGAGCCAGAGAAGGCCTTTACTAAAAAGGCTGGCTGTTTGCAAAGTGCCACAGTATACTAACGTAAACCTGACTTGAAGAGAAAATGAAAAGAACCAGAAAAGAACTGGACTGTGGCTCAGTATTCCAAAGTCCTCTTTATTTGGAAATTAGTGACTACAAGTCTGGAGAATGAATGGAGAAGCACATAATCCAAGGTGTTTGAAGTCCAGTGTGCAGTCTGTAATGATTCCCATGCCATCTGCTGGTGTTGGCTGATCCAATGTATGTTATTAGGCCAAAAGTCAATGCAGCCATCTACCAGGAGCATTTCATGTTTCCATCTGTTGACATGCTTTATGGAGATGCGACTTTGCTTTTCCAACAGGATTTAGCAAAAACTGAACCAAATGCTTTTCTGACCATGATATTACTGTGCTTAATCGGCCAGCCAATATGCCTGACCTGAACCTCATACATACTCTATCAGGCATTCTCAAAAGGAAGATGAGAAACACCTGACCCAAATATACAGACAAGCTCAATCTTACACAGGTGTTCAACTAATAGTAAACTACAAAGAATGACATCAAAAAATAAAGTGAAAAAATGAAATAGTAAAAATAATTCATAAGAAAACTTACATAAAAAATATCCCATCATGGTCAAATACTTCCATTTTGTCACAATACAGTTACAAAAAAAACACGATGCCACAGGGTCCTGCACGAGCACTGATGTGAGAAGAGTTAAGAGTGTGGCCTGTCTCTCACTGCTAGACCTAGTGCATCATTGCATTAAAGCCAGAGGGTATCACAAGCAGCTTTGACAGAACACAAGTATTTAATGCCCTGGGACGGAGAACAGGCTATAATGCCAGTATATTAATATATTGTAATGGAGTATCGCTGTGTTTTGCAGTGTTAAAGTGAGATGCCACAGGAATATTCAGCATCTTTTTTTTGTATTTTGCTTCTGAGCTCATTTTTGCAGTGTAAATCAAACCGTACTGACATTTTATTACGTGAATCCCCAGTGTGATAACTGTCCTTAAAATAGGTCATGCTTAAATTCAAAAGAGTACATGACTGAAAAGAAATAACTGTGAACAAGTTTTATATTTTTGAATTAATTGTAATATTTTCCTACAGTTTAGCCAAACGCAATTACTAATGAAAATCGATAGAAAAGACTTATTTAATCATATGATGTATTGATATATAACTCAATGTGTAACATTTAACCCTGTGATATTTCATCTTAGGCTACGTCTACACGTACCTTTTTTTTTTTTAAAATCTCGTCCACACTTAAACGCAAAAACGAAGGAAAATGCTGCTAGGAACATGCCAAAGCAACAGGTGGCGATATATTCCTAACTGTGTAGAAATGTTGGCCAATCAGAAGTCTAGAAGCCTGGGTGGGAAAGAGTAAACAAAGATGGCGCATAGAAGCAGAAAGGAGTCTTGTGTGGAGGGACAGTAACTGTGTGTGTATATGTAAGCATTTAAAAACTACAGAGAGTAAAACTAACAGTAACAGTATTTTGTCTAAGTTAGGGTGACCAACTGGACATGTCCACTTTTCACATTCTGGGTGTCCAAGATTGATGAAAATGTCTGGGTTTTTCTATAGGCCTACGGAGGAACCATAGTTTCCTTTTATTTGTCATATACAAGTTAGCACAGGGTCAACATTGCAATGAAATGTGTTTGACGAGCAGCAGTCACTCAGCATCATGGTACAGTAGAAGAAAATATAATAAAATCTAATAAAATAAAATAAAATAATAAAAAAAAATAGTAAAGAGCAAAATATTAGAGAGACGTGGTAAAAGAGAAAAGATGACTAAATATATATGTATCTATAAATATAAATATATATACACTTGTGATTAAATAAGAAAATCTGAATATGACGGGAGGGCAGATGGGATATTGCACAGGAATGAGCATCAGAAAATTACAGTATTGCACTTTTTAAATATAAATATCAATAACAATAAAGTGGAGTGACCAGTGCAGTGCATATGTGTAGGGATGGGTACCGGTAGTAACCAGACCGAAAAGCAGCGCACATTTCGGTGCTTTATTTCGGTGCTCCCCCCTGAGATGTCATACACTTTAGATTCTAGCCAATCATTCATTTCCGAGGATAGTAGGCGGGTCCAGGTACGTACGTTCTTTTAGAGCAGAGCTACAGATTAAAAATGCCCAAGGCGAAGTGGTTAAAAGTCTGGCTGTACTTCACAGCAAAATATGCAAACTCAGCAGCCTGCAACAAGTGCTTTAAGCTGATACTGTGATATTGTGCAAAGGATGTAACACCTCAAATCTGATGAAACACCTGGCGACGCATGGCGTTTTTTCAAAAGCCGAGAAATGCGCCGTATTTGATAGCTTGCTGCCAGACCTCACAACGTGCACATCTACTGCGGGTGGGTTGCCTGTTATCGGACCCAGAGTTAGCAACATCTCCCAAAAACCCGAAGAGGAGAGTCCTGGCCCCTAGCCCTGCCAGTGTAGCAGAAATGATGACGGATGATGATGGCAGCAGCAGCCGTTCTTCTCTGCGTGAGTAGCTTAATGTTGTTCGTGTGTAATTTACGTTGAGTAGGCTAACCACGTTATTACATTAATGCATGTAAGGTGAACTAGAAAACACCACCGTAGTTACATGCGGCTGTCTTCTTATTTAATGGCAGATGCTCCCTTCACCCTGGCCAGAAAGGCTAAAATGACCAAAGAAAAATTGGAAAACAGCTAAACATGAGAGGTTTTTAGACAAAGTTTGTGTTTTTTTCCATTGTTTAAGCATTGCTTCCAGCCAAGAGTGATGCCATAAATCCCCCATAGCTGCAGAAAAGGCTATCATTGTTATCTTTTTACAAAAAAAACAGCTGAACATGAGAGGTTTTTGGACCAATTTTGTGTTCTCCATTCTTTAAGCACCGGCACCGTTTCAAAAGTACCGGTTTGTTACTGGTATCAGATAAAACCTAAACGATACCCATCCCTACATATGTGTGATGTCATCCCCGAGCTGATGCTTTGTGAGCGCTTCTTCTGCGCTCACAGATCGGACAGGTGCGCCTGATGATTTTTAAAAGACGTCAAAGTGCAAGTGGACCTTTTCAGATAAACTGCAAAATAAATTTCCCTCGTACGGTCCCAGTAATTTTTCTTATAAAGATGAGGCCTTATTTCTGTACCGTTATGTAATTCCAGAGGTTTTTGAGTAAATTTTTTTTGCCCTTGTTGACTTGTAAAAGCCTATATGACATTTTTGTTTCACCATTCATTAACCGCACAGAGAAGGCATTGTTTAAATGTGT